CTTATATAAATGTACTCTTCATATTTTAGCCTGTATTGATAACTTTACTGGTAACGGGAGATTTAGTCAGTTCAACATCCAAAGCTAAGCACCCAGGATCCTGTTTATAAACTTTAAAGTGTCTCATCTTAATTATTCCAGTTTCAGAATGCCAGGGTCGAGGAAATAGAGGTAGAGGCCGGTACAGAGGAACCGGACTTTGGGGGTCACTTTGGGGCTATCTGAGCACGGTACAGATTGTCTAGTGTGTGTGCGCCTTAAAGAAAGAGGTTTCTACATTTCTTTGTCGCTGTCGTGTGTGAAGCACTTTGAATCGCCCTCTGAGCGATTAAACACGACCTCATCTGAGCGTTTATTTCAGAGTTTACTTTCAGTTTACGACCTTCTTCAAACACTCTGAAACCTCTGAAAGGGTCAGAGTTCATCCAGTCAGACAGAGTCTCTTCTGCATCCTCTCCGTCTCCCTGACGACCTAAACACATCTTTAAATCTGCTGAGTCAGCACGCCGCCTGATCTCCTTCCATCCTAAAAGCTTTGAGGTGAAGAAGAGGAAGGTGAGCCGGCTCTCTGGGCCCGGTGCCAAGAAACTCGCCGCGCTGACCCGACGGCTGTGATCCGTTGGAGCGAGGAGGAAGTGAACAAACACACGAGAGCAGCCACGCGTAAACATTCATGTTTACTGTCCAAACTCTCAACACGAGTGGCGTTTCTCCTCGAGCGGCGCGGCTTGTTTACACCCCCGTTTACGCTTCAGGAGAGGCGAGTTTAACCCCCGTCTGTGACAGAGTTGTGTTTACACAGAGCGTCTGCAGGAAACTGTGATGGCGCGGGAGTGTGTGTGTGTGTGTGTGTGTGTGTGTGTGTGTGTGTGTGTGTGTGTGTGTGTGTGTGTGTGTGCTGCAGCCGTCCTATTTTGGCCGACTGTCAATCGAGTGGTCAGAGCACATATTTCCCCGCTCAACTCTTTCTGCCTCCACCGACAGAAACTCAGAAACAAGCGGAGGAATCTTTAAGGCCACCTCGAGTCGTCCTTGAAGGTATCGTGCTGCCATCAAGGAGCTTTTGAAACATCAGTCCTGACATGAGCATGCATGAGTGATTTTTTGAAAAGGTTTAAAATAAGACAGATGTTACTTCAGGTCACGCAGGAGCAGTGAGAAATACCTGGACCAATAAGGAAAACAGTTTTGGAAATAAAAAGTGTGACGAGATGAAAATAAGAAAGATTAGATAAATCATTCTGCTCTCTAAATTATGAAAGAAAGCAGGTTTACAGGATGGGAACACAGGTTGGGTCAGGCCCCATGTACGGAGGCTGAGGTCCAACCCGGGCCGCTGACATATTAAAGGTCCAATCAGTGAGCTGTGTAGAGAGTGAGATGATAAAGGTATCTTACTCTCTGATCATTAGGGAAACATGTTGAAGTGCTGGCTTCTCTGACAACAATGCAGCAGCCAGTATGTCCTCCTTCTAACTTTAGATTCTGCTCCTGAATGCTCTGGATTTGTTTGGACCAGAGAAGGTAGGAGCTTTTAAGACACGCCCCCCCACGGCCGTTTTGGACGCCCCTCGGTTTGTCAGATATGAGAGCAGTTATCAGGTCAACAGGTGTTGCAGCGATGGAAGCGGTCAAGAGAAGTGGTTCAGATAGAAGTGATTGTACCCGACCTAAAAAGCCTCTGCATGTTTCTAATAAGCTCCACGAGCAGAAACGTGCTCAAACTAGGATCAATATTGGAGATGCTTTTGAAAAATGGAGAGAGGTTAGAACACAGAAAGGTTTACAGACCCATGCAGAGCTGGATAAACACTGAAGCTTCAGAGTCCACCACATGGTGACCTGAGTGAGCATCCACTCTAGAGAGGAGGGGGGGGGGAGACAGCTCTCTATGATGTTTATAATTTAGACTGCAGTACCCATGTTTAAACACTAGGGGTCAGAGTTACATACTGCTCCTTTAAAGTGAACCCTTCTGATTGGCTCACTGAATTAACTTCCAGTGGGTTTGTTGTCCAATCAAAGACTCTGAAACAGATTTATTCACATGAACGGGAATCATCATAATGATGATATTCAGATATCTGTTTTGGAGATCAATGAATCCTCGTTCATTTTCGTGAAGAATCTGAGTTTTTAGAGAGCGGACTGAAAAACTGACGGAGAATCTTAAAAACAAAGACTTCCCTCACACACTTCCAGCTAAACACACACACACCCCAAATTCCTCTCCACTGTTTGACAAGAAGCTTCAATATGAACATCTGCACCACTATTAGGTTACATAACCCCCCCCCCAAACCCCACCCTTACCCCCCCCCCACACCCCCCACCCCCCACGGACAGAAACAGCTCCATCAGAAACGACTGAATAAGGACATTTCTTAGCGGCGACGGTGATTGAAGAGGGAACGACCTTGAAGTTTTCTTCTGAGAAAGACGCTTTCCTGACGAGCACACACACACACACACACGCACACACACACACACACACACACAC